AGAGAAACAGGATTCGAGACGGAGTGAGGCAGCGCCTCCACTGGAATATTCTGAGGGGAAAGAGGCCAGGTGGGAGTTATAGGGAGCTACCTTGACAACCTCCAGAAGAAGGTGGCGGTTGGCAACTACAACAGCGACAACCTTCAGAGAGAACTGCGCCAGCTGAAGAAGGGCCAGAGCGACCGTTAGAAAGGTTGGACGACAGTCTGATGAATATGGAAGCAGATGAGGAGAACCAGGAGATCGAGGATGGAGAGCTGATGGGCATCGTGCGGCTGGATGATGGAAGAAGAATCCAGGTGCCGGCAAGATACCTGGAAGCAAGAGATGACTTGCCTGCGTATGAGGACGTGGAGATGGATGCAGGTGGAGCCAATGAGAACCAGGAGGTTGATTTAGACCAGCCGATGAACCTGGTGGAAGGAAGTCAAGAGAGAGTGGAAAGGTTGGGCAGCGCAGTGGACTCAGAAAGCGACCCGGAGCTCACTGGAGATCAACCAGGACCTTGGGAGCCAGATCCTGTACAGCTGCCGACCTTAGAGTTTGAATTTTACAATAGGATGCGGACAAGAGCCGCACTCCGGGCAAGGGAAGATTTGATCTCAGTGGAGGCCAATTGGCACCACTTTGTGAGGAGCGGAGACAGCCATAAGGCTGGACAGCTCTATGAGGTCATGCAAGAACTTTTTCCCTACCTGGACTACTAGGTTTGGCAACCAAGCTAAAGGCTCAGGTGCCAAAAGGGAGAGTGCGAAGGTTCATACAAAGCACTCACACCTGTTCATGTAGTGTCGTGATGACACGTACAAATCGAGTGTACCGCAGACCCCTTTGCAGCACCAAAAGGTCCGCAAAAACTAAGCCCCAAGAGTCCTGAGCGTTTGTCTTCAGTGAGTTTGGGACTGGAGAGGTGATTGAATTTTAATGGACGTGCACTTTGCTTACAACCTTGCAGATCGCTGCAGTCTGGTCGTGGGATATTGGCACGTGTTTTGGCACAAGCTGCCCGAAGAGTTCACATTTTTGTTCTCCTACGTTCTCCTAGCAGCACGCAAATGTGAGGTCTTTGGGGAGCTTGCACTATTGCTTTCCCCTTCCCCCTGCTTTTGCTCACTTCTGTCGTTGTTTCCCTGTCATTGTTCACTGCTTGTCTCATTGACCTTGCAGGCATTCGTAGCAGCGCGCAACTTCCAGATCAGCCGGTTGCGGCAAGACATTGCCCAGTTTAGGCCAGCAAGGGCCGCAAAGGCCCTTACTTATATACTGTTACAAGGCATTTGTGCTACATTTTGCTCAAGGGTTTTGAAGTCTTTTGTCTCAGGGGATTGGCTTTCTACCTCCACAGAAGGCAGCGAGAGTTGCAAATCCAGGAGCCTTTGGGTATACTGTAACTGCAACGCTTATGAACTCACAATTTGCGCTGGACAATGAGAAATGGAGGAACATTTAGACAATGAGAAGCACCGCTTGAGAGCTCTTCTTCTTATCCAGGCGTTCTGTTGAGAACTTTGAAACTTTCAGTCCTTTGTGTCTATTCTTTGACATACATTTTGAAGTGGGGTTCTTCAGGCTTGGTGGAAGGGATGTTTGGTGAGGGGCTTCGAGGCTGCCCACCGAGAGCCAGCCTCAAAACTGTGGCCAACGCGCTTTGCCGTTCATATCAACAGGAGAAGTTGACAGGTTTTTTCGAGATATTATTTTCTATCCTTTACTAACTCCCGCCAAACTTGACTCTGCTAGCTAGGTGCACTTTTTTGCTGTTTGTTACTTCTCTTGTTTGTAGGCACTTGCGTCCATCATGCCCCAAACAGTTCTGACACACTTGTTGCCAAGGCTAAGACAGAAAGGGACAGGCGAAGGACTGGTGCATTTCAATTGTCGCAAACACCCCTTGGAGCGGGGCTTTGCCCAATTCAGGAGTGCCCTTCCAGAGAGCAAGCAGGACGGATTCTCTTCAACTCCTAATTCAAGCTTGATTGCAATTGAATGTGGCAATACGCGCACCAGGAATCATTGGCATTCTTCTTTGACAACAAGCCCAGGATGTGTGACCACTTTGTGCATTCAGCCGCATTACCTTCAGCAGCAAGTGAACGTTTTTGTGTGGTGCAAACAGTGCAGAAAGACTACAGGACCAGCAGAATCAAAGTGACCAGAACTCTTTCACTGCAGGACCCTCCAAGAACAACAGCCAATGCAAGAGGAGGTGCCACAAGTTGTCACTGTGGACATGTGACATTTTGCTTGGTTGTGAGCATTCAATGTTGTTTGAAGAGATTATCGATGCAGTTTCAAACACATAGATGGAAGACTAGCAGTGCTTGCCCCCAGCTTTGCCAAGCAGTTGTCCTGAAGCTCACGTAGGCTTGCTCAATTCTTGTTTCTTGAATGCAAGTAACATTGGTAGAGGGATGACTGGCAAAACCATTAGCATCTTAGCAGATCCGGCCGAGAAAGAATACTTATTATCATCGATTCAGCATATGGTAGCAATATGGTCAAGCTGTGTATAGACAGAAAGGGATGACTGCAGGAAAGACCTCATGATATACTTCCCCACCCGTGTCACTGCTGTGACGCTATCAAACTACAGCCTTCCTGGAGCGGAATTTCAAACCGTGGGAGGAACTGCCAGGAACCGCCTGGAACCGCTGGCAGATACAGGCTTTTGTCTCTCTTGAAGTATTGAATAAGTCCTGCAACAACTCAAGCGAACGCACACAAGTCTACCAATTACCAATTGCAAAGTAGGCTGTCCGTGTTTGCAGCGAAGACTGTGTACTCTGTAAAGAAAACAGGCGAGCACCGGTGTTGTTTGTGTGTGACACGCCCCGGTCCTAACTTTCAGGCGGACTGTTAGTATTTGTGACTATTGATGACAATTCATGGAACCTGGTTTTGCCCAAAGGCTCCTTCTTTTTCGACCATTGGTTTGGTCCCGATTTATCACGATACCCAAAAGGCTTTGCCATGAATCCTTCCTAGTTGGAGCATGGAGCCTTGTCTCTGAAGCTCGAACTGGGTTTGGTTGGTGAGTACATCGTGAGTACTTCTTGATGTATGGTGCAAGCAGTAGGCAGGAAGGAGGAGAAATACTGCAGGCAGGAAGGAGCAGATTATATGTAAAACCAAGGTAATATAATTGTATTGCCCAGCTCAGGGTCACCGCGCCTTTCTTTCTTGCGATTGCCGAAGGCGGTCGCCACACATGTATCGATTTAGTCGTTATTCTTTTCTTCGCTCCATGCACCTAATTAAAAGCCAGAGGCTGAACGCCACACTGAGAGCAATGGAAATGCCGCAACACTGACTCTCCCTGCAAAAGCAAAAACAGGCTTTACAAAAGACTCAGGTTCGACCATGCCATTGCTTCTCAAAGTTCTTGAAAAAGCGTGGCGAAGAGAAACAAAGAGATCAGCCAAACGGCTGTCTCAACTCAAAAACCATACAAAGCCGTGCTACTGACAATTTCACTGAAATTTGGAAAGTCAAGGGACGCAGGTGGCTGGATGCGATCCCACAAAGCCATCTCCTCCAAAAGCTGCTACTCCTTTCCGAAAAACAACACCTAATAAAGGCTAAGGCTGGTCTGTACAATACGTAGCCCGCGCTAAAGGTCAAGCCATACCACATCGAAGAGGGTTATTACCCGTAGTCTGTTATTTTCCACGGTTCACTCTGGCAGCCGCATGAAACCTTCACAGCTATCCTTGCGGCAACCGCGCCACTCACCTCAATGGCCAGAATCAGCCATCATCGGCAAGGTCCAGCAACCACTGGTGTCTCACTGTACTGCGTGCTTCACACCATTATATAGTCATCAAGAAATTCTGTTGCTGCGGTAAAATCCAGTCCACCATCAAATTCAATACCTCAAAACAATCTGCATGTCATGTCCTGCCAGCACACGATGGCCAGTTGACACCAAGTCCTGGCCAATCACGAACACCCCTTGAAATCTTCCTCTATGGTCTGGCGGCCGCAATGCTATGCCAATCAAACCCTTCTTCATGGAACTATTTGCAGACCTGTCCATAAGCGCAAAACGCCAAAGCAACGAGATCACCGAGACATGGCTGATGTGCCTTCCGGCACTGGGGCTCCCGAAACTCCCAGACGTTGATCTGGTAAACTCGAGACCTCACCCCGCGCCTTGAACAACATTTCTGTATCGTGAGGGTTTGACAGCACCAGTTTTGACAACGTGAGTAGAAAACGACAAGCTTTTCCACCAACATATTATATATATATATAGTTATATATTATTTGGCGGGTGGTGTTGGGAAAGGCAGTGTTGCATTTGCACATTTGCATTTAACACAATACTTTCTTAATGAGATGCTGCTGCTTTGTACAAAGCGTCGTAGTTGTATGTTGAATCAGCACCAGCACAGGTGCGCCCCTGCACGCCACAATTCACCATTGCGGAAGCCATTGCAATCATTTTCCTCCCAGTTGCAACGAATGTTGGTGTGGCAGACCACGCAAAGTGAGCATGTTAGCATGAGCTTCTAAGCAGGCAGATATAATCTTGGGCTAGGCTTGCAAACGGTTAAACCGTAGTTTGATACGCTCTAACGTGGTTGCGTGCAACTGCAATGCTAGGGCACACTAATTAACATTTCGAGTCATTGTGAGGCTCTAGCAAGGTGCCCACAAACTTGTTTGTCAAGGGATGATGGCGTGAGAGCTGGTACTGCCCTTGTCCCCCTCATCGTAGGGCTGCTGTATTTCTCTCTAAATCTCTTTGAGGTAACCAGGCAAATTCTGGCAAATGGTTCCAATTTAGGACGGCATAAAGGGTGCTTGTAGTGGGTTTTAGGCGCTCTTCAGTATTGTTGTTGTCCCGCTGGCCAATTGTTTGTGGTGGGATGCTTTTCAGCCATGAACATATTCAATTGTTTGAGGCAGGCACCAAAAGAAAAGCAACATGTTGTTCCATGTTCTTTCAAATTTAGCAAGCTGCACGACTGAGCTGAAGCTTTGATGGCAGGATCGAGGCGTCGAGTCTGTGGCCTCAGTGCTGTTCAGGCAACTTCTACTGTAAATTCTGTGGCCTCAGGCTTCCACTTCCGAGGCTAGGTGCGTTTGACTGTGGGCTGTGGGATACAAGATTCTTGACTGGTAGAACGTTCTTGCACCTGGCTCTCGAGTGCAAAGGAGGCGTAGCGAAGATGGGACAGTGGTCTTGATCTTGGTCTCATAGCAGAAAGGACATGAAGGAACTCGACACTTGCCTTCTGCCAAGCCTTCTGACCTTACAAAAGAGCGATTTGTTTCGAGGTGCGCCAGCTACCTCGCCAAATTCACATCTACTTCTCAGACACTGGAGGTGGACACCGCGCATCTGCACTTGCATTGGAGGCAGGCCCATGAATTGCAGGTCTTCTTCCAGAAGAGAGAACCAATTGACAATCTTGAAGGCTGCTCTTTTGAAGCAATATGGCAACCAGGCCATTCTTTGAAAGTCACAGTTTAGAGGGCTTGCACAGAGTTCAGTGTGCAAGGTGTCTGTAGACCTGATTGATTTCATCCGCGACGCTATGCCCTGGCCATTGCCAATACCTTTTCAAACACGGATTGTCACCGCAGTATCAATTTGAGCGGCTGAGTGAAACTGAGTGAAACTTAGCTGTCCAAGTTGTTCCTTGTTCCAAGGTCGCAGGCACCAGAGACCTACCAGGCACATTGCACCAGCCAGAGGCGCTTTTTGACATCTTTTGTGCGGCCAGACTTTGGGCCACTTTCCGTCTGTTTACAAGCGGGCCACAGGCTGAGCGCCAGTTTGGCAGAAGAAGCGGATATTTTGTGTTTGGAGGGTCGTCAGTTGTCAAATGAAAAAAGATCACTGTAAACATTTGTAAACTCTTCCTCGGCGGCCAAGTAGAGTCCGAAGCAGCGAGAAGATAACTCTGTCTTCAGACTGTTCCGACAGTACCACCGATACCGTAGCCTGGCTGGAAGTTCGGGCACTGCTAAGGCTTGGGACTACGATCAAGATAGTGACGAGTGGAGAGCCACAACAAGCGACTTTCCTGCAAGGCAGTAGTGAGATAGCTGGAATGAAGTTGAGAGCGTTGTTGCGAGGCTACCAAATGATGTGGCGCTACAGCAAGGAGCACAGGGCCTAAATGTATATAGAAGAGAAGTGAGAAGAAACCAGATTCCCTAATGAATAGTGCAAGCACTTCTTCAAGGAAGCTCCCCTGGCCCCCGGCCCTCAGGCCGGGGGAGCTTCGTTGAAGAAGCATGAGCTTTCCTGCGTCCCTACTAGTAGCGGCCTACTTATATAATATCTTAGTAGCTAGCTATTGTCTACTGCGGCTCACCCTCCCCGGGCTTAGAAAAGGATAGAAGGCAAAGATTGAACAATCAGTTGTGAACACGGGTGTGAACATCGGCATAGGCACATCCTGAAGTACCTCCAGCCACGGGTCTATGAATTAGATCTGATCATCTCAGTGCACCCATTGATGCTTGGCTGAACGTGCCGCACGCAACATGCCTGTACTGCGTCCTTGCCATTGGTCATCAATCACTGCTGAAAAAGGATTCACCATTTGGTCATCGAAGCCCTGGAGGAGATGGCCAAAGGTGCAAAGATTTTATACTTTGGCAAAGTGTGACAGTGTGGCACTGCGCTGAATTTGCAAAACACAATTTGACACATCCTCAGTCCGTTGAATCGTGCAGGTTGTGAAGCCACACGTGAGGCGTTGATGCATTTGTTGGTATGGCAGTCCTTGTATTTTCCATGTTGGCCAGGAAATGGGTTTGCCAGTGGTGACGGTGGTCTGGAACCAAGGCTTCAAGGACACTAAGAAAGCGAAAGCCAAACAACTTTAAGTGACAACGGTGTGGCCGTGTATGATATCTTGCGTCTCCAAGGTCACAGACTTGGGATCAGCACATTTGTCATGGCTGGAAGCCAAAGACCGCTGGCCAAATGCGCACTGCCACTGCACATGCACATTGATGATTTGGTCAAAGTGCGTGTGATGCATAGGTTTGACCCACGCATTGACCTGCTTTTCGTGCCCAGCCAGGTCCATCCAGCTTTAGCAAGTATAAATCGACATGCAGCATGCCTTTTTCCATGGCACCAACTTGCCGACCTGCTTCGCTGGATTCTAGAAGGAGATCTACCAGCTTGCTGTGAAGCACCACGTCCCCAAATGGCGACTTGGTTTGACCTAGCTTTCATGCCCTCAATCTGGGTGAGAAATTCCTCGTTGCTATGCCTAGAAGCTGTGTAGCAACGAGCAGGAAGATCAATTTGTCCGGTCTACCTCTTCGAGAAGGCTTTCACGCTTCAACCTTGCTGCCTTCCAAGCTCCAAGTGTGGAGGATTCTGGACGGCTGATCCGATCTCCCCTGAACAGAAGCGTCTCCTCCAGGCGATTGTTGAGCTCCTAGTAGCTTCTTGCTCCTAGTAGTAAGGCCAGGAGCCCCTAGTAGCGTCCTTGCTCCTAGTAGCGATGCCAGGAGCCCCTAGTAGCTTCTTGCTCCTAGGTGATTACTGAACGTTTTGAAAGTTGTTCTTTTCTGTGAGCTTGTCATGCCTTCAGGTACAGTTGGGCCTCAGGCCCACAGAGCGGCCAGAGGCAGAGTGCATGCACTAAGATGAGACTGTCAGCATTCGTTAGCCTGCAGGTAGTGCTTCTTATGGGAGGAGGCGAAGGATTTGGCAGGCTCACAGATGCCATGTCCTTCAGCTCCTGAAGCAAAGCCAGTGTAAGATTATTATTTCACACTGAGGTTGCATGCGCAATTGGTGACATGCTGGTCGGCAGCATCCTTAGCGGCAAACATCCGTTGCACATTAAACACTGGCCTCCAACCCACTAGCGATGGCCTCCAACCTAGTAGCGATGCCTCTTGAAGTTTTTCAACTTTAGAGTGCCTTTGGAAATCCTTTTCACCAGCCTGCAGGTCCACAAAAGGAGAGAACTTGAGAACTTTGCAAACCTCGTAACAAATTAAGAAAGGCCAAACGCCAGAGTCAGCACTGCCATCAACAAACTTCAAACTAGGTAACTAGGTCCGGAGACGAGCCAGAAAGTCACAGGATATGAGAGAGTAATACTCAACTTGGAAAAGGACAGATGATGCAATCTTTGTCAAAAAATATACCGGCATAGACCCCAGATAGTACTTCAAGAAAAGGATAGCATGGCAAGAGCGGGAGACAAGCTTGGGAGACATCCCACTCAAAGCCGGGAAAAGGATGGAAAAGATAAACAAGACCTAAATCATGTTATAATAACAGCATCCGCGTCAAAGGCAGGCAAGAAAATGACAAGGCGGCAGCGGCAGCCAAGAGACAGAGACAAGCTTGGGAACCACGGCGGCAGCGGCAGCCAAGACCGAAATCATGAAGGGAGACAAGCTTGGGAGAACAGGCGGCAGCGGCAGCCAAGAGCGAAGTTATGAAGGGAGACAAGCTTGAGAAGCAAGACGGCAGCGGCAGCCAAGAGCGAAATCATGAAGGGAGACAAGCTTGAGAGACAAGGCGGCAGCGGCAGCCAAAAGCGCAATCATGAAGGGAGACAAGCTTGGGAGACAAGGCGGCAGTGGCAGCCAAGAGCGAAATCAGGAAGGGAGACAAGCTTGAGAGACAAGGGGGCAGCGGCAGCCAAAAGCGAAATCATGCTTGGGAGACAAGTTGGCAACGGCAGCCATAAGCGAAATCATAAAGGAAGACAAGCTTGGGAGACAAGGCGGCAGCGGCAGGCAAGAGCGAAATCACGAAGGAAGACAAGCTTCACAGACAAGCCGGCAGAGGCAGCCAAAAGCGAAATCATGAAGGGAAACAAGCTTGGGAGACAAGGCGGCAGTGGCAGCCAATTGGGAAATCATGAAGGGAGACAAGCTTCACAGACAAGGCGGCAGCGGCAGCCAAGAGCGAAGTCATGAAGGGAAACAAGCTTCGGAGACAAGGCGGCAGCGGCAGCCAAGAGCGAAATCATGAAGGGAGACAAGCTTGGGAGACAAGGCGGCAGCCAAGAGCGAAATCATGAAAGGAGACGAGCTTGGGAGACAAGCTGGCAGCGGCAGCCAAGAGCGAAATCATGAAGGGAGCCAAGCTTCATAGACAAGGCAGCAGCGGCAGCCAAAATCAGGAAGGGAGACAAGCTTGAGAGACAAGGGGGCAGCGGCAGCCAAAAGCGAAATCATGAAGGGAAACAAGCTTCAGAGACAAGGCGGCAGCGGCAGCCAAAAGCGAAATCATGAAGGGAAACAAGCTTGGGAGACGAGGCGGCAGCGGCAGCCAAAAGCGAAATCATGCTTGGGAGACAAGTTCGCAACGGCAGCCATAAGCGAAACCATAAAGGAAGACAAGCTTGGGAGACAAGGCGGCAGCGGCAGCCAAGAGTGAAATCACGAAGGAAGACAAGCTTCACAGACAAGCCGGCAGAGGCAGCCAAAAGCGAAATCATGAAGGGAAACAAGCTTGGGAGACAAGGCGGCAGCGGCAGCCAATTGCGAAATCATGAAGGGAGACAAGCTTCACAGACAAGGCGGCAGCGGCAGCCAAGAGCGAAATCATGAAGGGAAACAAGCTTCGGAGACAAGGCGGCAGCGGCAGCCAAGAGCGAAATCATGAAGGAAGACAAGCTTGGAAGACAAGCCGGCAGAGGCAGCCAAGAGCGAAATCATGAAGGAATACAAGTTTCACAGACAAGGCGGCAGTGGGAGACAAGCTTCACAGACAAGGCAGCAGCGGCCAAAAGCGAAATCATAAAGGGAGACAAGCTTGGGAGACAAGGCGGCAGCGGCAGCGGCAGCCAAAAGCGAAATCATGAAGGGAGACAAGCTTGGGAGACAGGGCGGCAGCGGCAGCCAAGAGCGAAATCATGACAAGCTTCACAGACAAGGCGGCAGCGGCAGCCAAAAGCGAAATCATGAAGGGAGACAAGCTTTACAGACAAGGCGGCAGCGGCAGCCAAGAGCGAAATCATGATGGGAAACAAGCTTGGGAAACAAGGCGGCAGCGGCAGCGGCAGCCAGTTTCCGCAGTCAGGAACCCATCCATTGAGAAGTGAGAACCCCCATAGCTTCGCTATCTGGGGAACAACAAGCAAACAGCGGAGTTTAGTTTTTTTCACAGAGTTGGATGGAACTCAGCATCTCCCTAGTCTTCTCAAAAGGACGCAGCGTACTGTCACATTCCTATCCTCCCCAAGGATCAAACTAGATTCTAAGAAGGACAATTAGGTGACAAAGGATTTTTTCAACACTTTCTTTTTTCAACACTCCTTTTTAATCCCTGAAAGAAAACATACCTAGCTTGATTGGCAGAGCACTGCCACGCACAAAGCAGCCTGATGTCAGACTGGCCTGCAACGCACTGTATTCATTGAGCAGCAAAAGCACGTTGCCATGGGTTACAAAAGTAAGAATACTGTAATATGTTGTGAGCTTTCCAAGCTGCGAATGAAGCAGCCGGCAGCACATTGACTCCCTCAAGTTCTGATTAGTACCGTTCCCTATCTTCAGGAGGGATCGCAAGCATTGCTGCATGTATATAGAGGGAAATGCTCAAGATAAGCGATGAGCCTATCCCTGTGGCTTAAGGCATTCAGACGTCATTGCGCAAGGTTTGCGACTTTATGCTATTGTTGTACTACTCTAGATATTATTTGTTCCTTATGTTTTTAATTGGATGTTCTGCAAGAGTCCAGTCGACAGCTTTGTGAAGCCTGGCATCCACGTGCCTAAGGCTTGGGATTTGGACAGCTGGTAGTGGTATGTGGTCGAAATGAAGAGGCCGTGGCATCAAGACAGCTTCATGTTACCATGCGACACGCGCGTAGTTCATGAACATGTCGTGATTTCTGACTGAAGGTAGCTTCAGCGTGGTTCAACTACCTGAGTTCTCTTTGCATGTATTCAGGGCAAGGGGACCGGTCAGGCACTTTGGGGCCGTAAGAAAAGGTTTAAATGACAAGAGTTCCTCCTCCTCCTCCTCCTCCTCCTCCTCCTGCGCCTTCCTCACCCTCATCCTTATTTTCATAATCCTCAAGCCTAAGTTTAAGTAGAAATCAGACGAACATTTGGTGTCGTTGGTTTGTCACCTATATTTCCTGATAGGGCATAGGGCATAGGACAGGTCCCGTTCACTGGGGACAAATGCCCCCTGTGTGAAAGGGTAAAATGGGTCACGCGATACCCCCTACACCACGCCGAGGGGGTCGTCGTGACGCATAACATGGCTGTAGCCAGACTCTTCCGAGCGCCAGTTCCTTTTCAAGTGGCCTGCTCAACTAAGCTTCCAACAACGCCAGTGTTTGCAAAACAAGGCGACCAACATACGTAACCCTGGCAGCATACCTGATCAAACTCTGACATGGCACATTTTGCCACCAGAAGAGACCTGGTGGTGCAGTCTTCAGGCTTGGGCCAACCCTCCTGAACTGCATTTCTACATCTTGCATGTGCAACATGTGCAGTCATAGGCATCAGGTCGCATCAGCTCAGTTTCAGAAAGATACACTGGATTTATATACATATACAAAAAATATATGTAGATGTATGCGCACTGTATCAATATTGCATTTATGGTGTTTTTTGAAAGCAAAGCCCGAAGCACTGTGAACGCATTCCTGGTACGGCAGTGTTGTACAGTATTTGTGGTATGGGAGGACGGAACACAGACACACATCACATCACATACATCACGTACATGACATACATTGCATACATCCCTCCCCTCCCCCCCCTGAAATGTAGAGGCCTACTTGTACAGGTTCCACTCCAGTGGCCTATCTAGTGTGTCCATGCTTGACTGCCATAAGGCTCAAGAGGATAAGACTCTGCGCATAAAAGACACTAGCGGTCTGCACCTCAATCGTGTACGCCCTAGTCACTCTTTCAGTGGTAGCGGAGCAGTGATCCTGGAAGACCCAGGTGAGCTCCTTTCCTAGGCATAGAATTGCTTGTGGGCAACCGGCCATGGATTGGATTGACGACTGGGAAGAGCCTGATGCGGATGTGGCTTATGAGCCAGCAGCCTATGTGAATAGGCATGTGAGAAGAGAACCAGCAGCGATAGCAATGACAACACAGGTCACTACAAAGGCGCCCCCATCTTATGATGGAAAGACTTCATGGTTTTCCTATGAGGATGCCATAGACGATTGGTGCGATATCACCGAGCTGGAGGATGAGAAAAGAGGACCAGCATTGAGAAACCGACTAGAAGGAGAAGCAGCTGTATACAAGCGAGTATTAGACAGAGATGCATTGAAGGCGAATGATCCACCAGGAGCAGGAGTAGAATACTTCAAACGAGTACTACGTCCATATTTTGTGAAGGGATCCGCCAATGTATTCCTGTATAGGTTTATGCAATTCGTGCGCTTCAATCGCGGATCAGCTGATATGATGAAATGGATGACAAGATTTCAGATCCTACTCCAAAGGCTTATGAGCAGTTGGATGGACATGTTGGATCCAGTAACACAAGTACATCCTCAGGTACAAGCTCAGATGCAAGCAGATGCAGCGATGAATGGAGTAGCTCCAACAGCGGAAAGAGTACAGGAAATCATGCAGAATGTCAATGGCAATCTGAGAATTCTTCATCAGAACGATTTTCCTTTAGGAGAGAATCTCATTGCCTTACTCATGCTGTCACTTGCGGATTTGTCTCAGGACCAGAGGAACACTTTGACCTCTTTGATGACCCATCGTGGTAGAGTCCTGCAGCAATACACGACAATAGAGTTGAGGACAGTCTTCATTGAGATGTTCTGCACAACAAAGACTTCAGTAGACAATCCTCTGATGCAGCCAACAGGTGCTGGAGGTAGAAGATCATTTCTCGTACTAGACGAAGGAGAACTCGATGGTACATATGGCTATTGGGCCGAAGATGAAGAAGATGGAACAGAAGGATTCCTAGATGCCCTGGACGATGTCTTTTGGGTATATGATGAACAGAATTTCTCTTGGTTCCAGAGGAGATTCCAAGGAAGAAGAGCCAGAAAAGGCAAAGGAAAAGGAAGAAGAAAAGGAAAAGGTAAAGGAAGATCAGGCCGCAGATTTTTCAGACCTCGTGGAAAAGGAAAAGGAAAGAGACGAGGTAAAGGCCATTATGCTGATGAGCAATCGACAACTTATCCAGATGAGTATTTTGAAGAGAATCCTTATGAGGACACTTGGGAGTCAAACCAAGCAGCATATGATGCTATTCTTGCCGAAGATACGAATGACTATCTTCAAGGAGAATATGAAGATGCCAATGACTTTTGGCAACAGCTTGAAGAAGCATGGTTTTCCCACAAAGGAAAAGGAAAAGGCAAGAGAAAAGGCAAGAAAGGAAAAGGAAAAGATAAAGGAGATGGCAAACAAGATGCAAACTATGCAAATCAACAACAGCCACGTTCTTTACCTGCACCTTCAAGAACTTCACAAGCATCAGGAAGCCACCAAGGTTTCTTTGCGCATTGTGTGACAACAGCAGCTGAAGTCCATGACAGTGAGGTGGACTTGCTGTCAGGCATGATGACCTCATGTCAAGATGAAGCTGACTGTAAGGTCAACAATGGTGAGATGATCTTCGATGACATGAGTGCCCCTGTGAGGTACTCTTTGTCAAAGGAGATGCTCGCAGATGCTCCTGATGGCTTTGCGCTTATGAGCGCTGAGGAAGAAGTGAAAGAGATGCAGGCTATTTCATTTTTGACTGAGAATCGCTTCCCGCCAACTATTGCAATCCTGGACATTGGATGCACTAGAGCTATGGGGTCAAGGCGTGCAGTCGATTATTTTTGTAACTATGTCGACAATCACCCAAACTGTGGACTATGGTACTCTTTTGAGTCTACCAAGAGCAAGTTTTACTTTGCCAATTCTCAGAAGGCTTCTTGCTCTCAGAAACTGGTGATTTACATGTATGATCGTGCATGGACGATCCACAATACAGAGTTCGACATAGTTGAAGAAGGAGAAGTCCCTTTGCTTATGAGCTTGCCACAGATGAGGAACTTAGGCTTTGAACTCAGGTTGACACCTCAACATGCTTACCTGACATCGGTGCCTCTTGGTATCAAATTTCTGGAGTTGAAGGTTGCAGCCAGTACTCATCTTGTTTTGGACTTCCAAGATATTGCATGGTATCTGTCTGACGTGCGCTTGCAGGCTCGGCGCGAGAAGAGCTTTTACTCTCACCTCACTCACTATGAATATGGCCATATTTCGGTTGATCACAATAGTGATGAAGATGAAGCTGAGCATGCATATCCTGTGGTTGACTACTGGGAAGTAGATCTTCACAAGAGAGAACTGACACGTCACCACAAGGATTACAGGAAGATTCTCTTCCCAGCAACTAAGTCCTGTCCTGTAGACACTGACTTGCTGGAAGACTTGCGACTGACAATCATCAAGAAGAAAGAAGGAGGAGAAGAGATCAAAAAGATAGATGATTGGCGCAAGGCAAAATGGAAGGACCTACAAATTGGCTATGAATGGCGTGGTAGAACAATTTTTAAGTTCAAGCCAGATGCCAAAATTCCAGATCTAAAGATCAGGAAGGCTGGCATTGAGCACCGTGGCATTGGCGATCCCGATGCAGTGGTGCGCTGCGCTCCTCCTCAGAGAAGGTTCCCATTGCAAGGGACAGGGAACCAGGCTTCTCTTCAGAGAAGGAAGGTGCACCATCCAGTGCCGCGGAAAAGCCCGTGCCGCCAAAGTTTCGGTATACTTCCAAGGGTTTTGATCCATTTTGGAAAGGACACAAGTCGAAACCATCTGAGCCTCCACATGATTTAAAGGGTGATGATCTTGAGGATTATACTCCTTCAGAACCACCTGAGAGGCCAGAAGGTGAACTTGTAGAAATTCCTAAAGCATCAAAAGGACCATCAAGTGATAAACATGAACCACTTGAACCAGGTGATGGCGCTCTTGAGCCTAGGCGGATTTCAATCCCATTACCTGGTAGTGAAGTTGTTGCAATGACACCGGCATATAGGAAGATGTTGCAGAGACTGGAGGACAAGGTAGAGCTTTATAAGCTTCATGCGAAGCACTACCATATGAGTCCTACTCAGTTTCGTAGACGTGTTTCTATGTTGAAGCTTCCTGACTCTGTTTTAGAGAAGTATGAATCAGTTGTCAGGAACTGCCGTGTTTGTAACACTTCAGTGGCACCTCCGCCACGAGCCAAAGTCTCCGGTATTAGAGCTTCATGTTTTGGTGATGTTGTTTTTGCTGATCATTGTGAGGTTGAACTTCACAAGAACAAGTATATCATTCTACTTGTTCTTGATGGTGCCACAAATCTTCTCTGGGCTACGGCACAGAAAGACCTCATAGATCAAACCACCATCCAAGCATTGAGGCAGTGGTCTGATGAGAACAACTGTGTTCCGAAGGCCATCGTAGGAGACGAAGCCTTTTTCACAGATGCTTTTGTTGAATACTACAGGTTTCATGGTATACAACAATGTCCATGTGGGCCAAGAACTCCTTGGCCGAACCGAGCAGAGACAGGTGGTTTGTTCAAACGTATGCGGCGTGTTATGAAAGTAGATCTGGATGACCCACGTTTTCGTGGTGTTACGGTCAGAGAAGTGGTCAAGAAAGTAGTGTGGGCAAGAAATTGTCAGTTGACGATCAGTGGATATTCACCAATAGAGATAGCAACTGGAAGGCGTCCACCAGATCTTTTTGACCTTGAGACCGCGAGCCCTGAGCAATTGTCAGCTAGTGCAGCCGCACAAGATCGTACAAATCTGGAACTACAACGTGTAGCTTTGAGA